TTTTTTTTAAAATTTAAAAGTTAAAAAAAAACAAAACAATTTTTTTAAAAAAAAAAAAAAAAAAAAAAAAACCCATAAATACAGAGAGCAGTTTTAGAGAACTGATTACAAATGTGAATGAAAAGAAGCCATGGAAACCAACCTGGCCTCAGATAAAGCAGCGACTGAGAAAAACCAACTTGATGTCGAGTCAAGAAATCACAAACATGCTGAAAAATGTCAAAAAGCAACACGTCTCAAGCTAAAGAAATCCAAGAACTGATGAAGAATAAACTCACTGCCATCAATAAGTCAGGGAAAGGTCAAAAGGTCATTTCTAAGCGTTTGGGTTCTCCAGTAAACCACAGTGAGAGTCGGCATCCACAAGAAAGAACCGGGAACGTCAAGGAAGTGGTTGACCTGCCAACATGACTTCAACACTGGGTTGATGATTCAACCAGGAGCAACATCTAAAGCGCTGCAGGCCTAACCCTAACCCGTCTCAGAGTGGCTAGAAAATGTCTCCGTGAGTCCCAGGAGTTTTGGAAAAGTATTCTGCAAACTAACAAACGTGAAACTTTTGACGACATTTTAGAAAGATAACATTTTACCAACAGTCAAACATGGTGGTGGCAGTATTATGATCTGAATTCGCCCATCAGGAACACGCGAGAGTTATGCAGCAGGACAATGAGCCGATGGAAAAATAATTAAAAAAAAAAAACAAAAAAAAAACTAAAAAGGATCTCCTGGCCTAGTCAAAGTCCAGTTGATATATAGTATTAATGTCTGATAAATATATCAGACATTAATTAGTGCTTTTCTGTGACATTGCTGTTACATGAACACATGTTGTTTGTTGCTGTGGTTTCGTGGCTCTCTGCTCCACTTTCTTTTGTCTCTCTCTCAGCAGGTCTACCTTTTACGTTTTTCCCATCTCACGTTACAACTGAAATAAACCGAAAAAAAAAAAAAAAGACACTTCAAGAGGAGCGCTGTAGCTGAAGCTGTAACGCTCCTCTTGGGAAGGTAAAGCCGTTTATTTTTGACACTCAGACCGTAGTTCTGATTGCCGTACGGCCGGACAAGGACACACAAAAATAAAAAATAAAAAAAATTAAAAAATACGACTGTTCTGCAAAAAAAAAACAAAAAAACCCCACAAAATTCCACAATGTTGACATTAAAGATTCATTAGCAGGTATTACAAATGCTTGATGTCGCCCAGTGAAGCACAATTAGGCTTAGGGGGTGATTACGTATTACTGTTTTTTTCTTAGGTAGCATATTGGACAGGTTTTTTGTGTCAAATATTAAAATCTGTTTAAAGATCTGAAAGATTTACAGTCAATCCCAAAATTATTCAGAATAATTTAGATGTGAAATTAGACAGATTAGGATTTTAAACTATTTTAAACTAAAAGGCTACTTGACTTTTTGCATTTATATACATATTTTTTTTATTATTGTATATTGAAAATGATTTTAATAATCACTGGAAAGATCTTTTTTGGCATCAAAACTTTCAAACCCTTCTCATAAGTCATAAACTTTGAGAGTTCATCCGATTCCCTCCGCAGATACGGAACAAGATTGAAGTCAAGATTGTGTCTGGGTCGCTCCACGATGTAAACATTACTTCCAGTCAGAAGAAAACATGTCGCTGAAAATAAAAAAAGATGACTTTAAACCTAAATCTGATAAAGATATGAATCCATTTTTTTGGCTTCAGTGTAAGTGGGATGTTAAAAAAAAGTGTAAAAAAGGAAGAAATATGTTTATGTTGCTTTTTTTGCAGTGCAGCTGAAGAGATTTTATCTTGTTTTTATTTTATTTTTTTACTAGTCAGACTCGATGTGTGTCGCACATTTCTTTTCACAGCTCCGTTGTTGGGGACGTTCCAGTTGTGTAAACTATAATTAGACATAAAAAGCCTCCCTTTACTTTAAAACGCTTCATATCGTCACACCCCGCAGACCACGAGCCAGGAAGGTCTCATCAGATGAATTTGGTTTGACTAAATTTAAAAACATGAAGTCTGATGCACTAATGACAACTTCTTCAGAAAGTATTTAAAAAAACTAAGAACTTAGACTTCTTTTATTGTGCCACCTGTTCTTTTTGCTGCTGCTACTGTTACATAACCTCTAAAACTATTCTCAGCGCTTTCACTTACAGAAAACTGATCCGTTCTTTAGCAACGATGTGTGGCAGCACGCCGGAGCGGCGTGGCAGAGACCGAGCTGCCGTCGACCAAAAGAAACGCCGAGATCACGGCTGGCGAGAAGGCTTTTGTTGGCCGTCAGAGTCATTTCTGCCTGCTTTCTGGGAACTTTTCGTTCCGTTTCTGACGTTTATATTTCTCAAGTCTGTGTGCCGGGGTGCAAAGCGAAAGCTTCCACGGACACAAATTTCATTTCTGCTAAGCGTCTTTTATCGGAAACGTGAGAAAACTGTTGAAATCGAGAAAAGAAGAAGAACAAAAAACACCTTAAAAGATTTGTGTTACAGCCGTGAAGGCAGCGCCTTACCCTGCCTCTGTGGGACCAACAGAGAAAACGCTACCGAGAGAAAAACGTGAGGCAAAAATCTGCAAAAGTCTGTCTAGTTTTTACGTTTAGATCAAAACCAATAAAAAAACAAAACAAGAAAAAAAACCCTCCAAAATCTTAAGGTGAGAAGTGAAAAGCGAGAAGTGGGACGTCACCTCACGCACAGACAGTAGGCCCCGGGCACCGTCTCGCTGTCTCTCAGCAGAAAGCTGCCGTCGCGTCCGAACATCTCCAGCAGCTTCTCGGTGACTTTGCTCCCGATCCGGCCGTAGTAGATGGAGCGAACGGCGGCGCCCTCCGTCTCCATGACGCCCTCAGAGCCAGGTGCCCATCTGCTACGCTCTGTGCAGGTGGAGGTGAAGGCACTCTGCTGCACAACGAGAGAGAGAGTGCGTGTGAAAGGTTATACGAGGCAGGAAAAGCTTTTCTGGTTTTCACACTTTTCTGTCATGCAGAGACACAAAACTGCAGCATGCATGTGATGAATCTTTTTTTTTCTAAACCACATTAAGGAGTTCACGGGGTGGAGCAGAAAAACAATTATTCTCTTTTTTTTCCTTTTGCTTTTTCTCCTTCGCGAGCGCCTCTTTTTGTAAAAAAGAAAACTGAATCGTTTGATCGAATTTAAGTAATCGATTTTTTTTTAACCCAATCTGACTTTGATTTGTGTTTTAAACATGTGGATAAAATGCAATGATTTAGCGGAATGTCTTATGTGCATCTTGGACAGAGAGGAGAGGATTCAGGCGAACAGACGAGGCCCTGAAGCGGACAAACAACCCCCCACCCTCCACCCAACGCCTGCAGCTACACAACATCAATAGCAGCTGTGGTTTCATTTGAACGCCTAAGGCCTGCTCACATGTTTTAAAGTAAAAAAAAAAAAACATTTCACCTGAGAAAGGTCAGCCCTCCGGTGCACGACAAGCAGCAACAACAGGATTGAACGGAATATATGAAGATCTATCGAGAATCGGTGTGAACCATGAAATCCCCTTCCCTGTTGTTGCGTTTACAACGAATAAAAAGTTTTAAAATTCAAAACGAAGCTTTAAGTTCAGCGTCGTGCCAAAGTGCCCTCGCACCGGTTGAAACGGAAGTTTGCTGTCATGTGAAATAATGACAGCATAACTATGTCTGGAAATAACCTCACACCTACACTGTGCAGTTCGGCTAAAAAATACCAAAAAAAAAAAAAAACAGAAGTGTTAAAAGTAGACTAGTTGCGTATGTTTTCACACTTTTTATCTCATGGTTTGTTGAAGCTAATCTTTTCCTTTACTGTATTTTCAGACTTTTATGGTCTTTGGCTGGAGTCCGACAGCCAACATACAAATTGACCTCACCAAAACCTTCTCCAAAATCCATCACTTGTTTTCTGAAACCTTTAGTTCTTCGTTCTGGTAATTGTCATTCCAAAAATACAAATTATCCTCTCACAAAGTCTTTTTTTATCCCACTTTGAAAGCATGCTTTGACTCGCCATGATGCTGAAGGATAAAGTCTCTTTCCAGAGGACACCTGAACCTTTGCGGTCAAAACCGGCTGATAACCGGAGCTTTTTGTGATTTATGATTGCTTCACAAAAACCCTAATTCAATCCGAGTAAAGAGAAACCCCAGAGCATAATGCTGCCACCTCCACATTTTGTGTATTCGGTTCTTGTCATATGATGCCGTTTCATTTTGCTGTCTAACTTGCCTTCACATATTCTACACTGATCAAAAGTTCATTTGTTTCTCAGGAACCTTGATGAAGAAATTTTGTGGCATAATTATGAAATGTAGGTCTGCAACTATCGGTTGTATGGTAGCACTCTATTTGACCGACATGACATCAACATGACGTAACACCTGTCATGAACATGAAGGAGTCTTTATGAATGTTGTCACGAAGTGTCATTTGGTAATTAATGACATCAAATAATGACTTTAAAAGTTGCATTGAAAGTCCATTAAAAATGCCAACTTTGCATTAAAGTGTCATTATTTACCGAATGACACTTCATGACAACATTCACAAAGACTCTTTCATGTTCATGACAGGTGTTATGTCATGTCAGTCTCATGCACATTCTGTCAAATAAAGTGTTACCGATTGTGTTAACCACTTAACCTTTCATATGCAATGTTCGAAATGCATTAAAATATGCAAATAAACAATAAATTAAACACCTTATTGCCTAAAATATAACTACATTGCATTGTTTCAGTAAATTTGAAGCAGGTGAAGCTTGCCTGTAAAACACGTTTACAGAGATGTTTTTGTCTTAATTATGTTGTACAGATTTGTCTTAATTTGGCTTTTTCGTAATATTGTCTGTTTTTTTGAGTCTGTATACGCCACTTGATGACTAATCGATTAATAAATGAGTTGACGATTTTTTTTTTTTCCAATGATCGATACATCACGATTGATCCGATTAATCGTTTCAGCCCCACTGCAATGTGATATTTACTTTATCTTGGATGGGAAATGAAACATGACGGTAAATCTAATGTCTTGGGATTCTTTAGAGCTTTCTGCTCTTGGCACCAGAACCAGGACCAGAGAAAGGATTAGCAATCAGAATACTTTGGGTTACATGTAATGAAAATTGCTTCCTGGAGGCTTGGAAGGTTTTAAATTTTACCCAGTCTGTAACATTTAGCTGTGGTGTGTGATATGAAGCTTACCAGAAATTGCCTCCGCTGTAAACAACCATTCCCCAATTAGAAGAGAGAAGTGCTGATCTGAGCAAGGTGGCTGTTAATGTTGATTCCCTATTTGGAAGCGTGGCCGACACGGACTGAACGGCTTCGTTCACATTGCTAAAACTAAGATTAACTGTATTTAACAATATTTATAGACCCGAGCCTGAAGTAAACCTGACATATTATTTAAATTAATCTATTTCTGCGGCGTAAACTTGTCCTGTTTTTAGTTTTTCTTTAATATCTTCCAGCTCCATCTTGTTGCTTGCTGTAACCGCAGGATGAGTCAAGTGCAACTCTGCTGAGATGTGCGCATTGTGGAGCACTTGTTACAGGCTAATAAACTTCTGAACCTTTATTTCTTTTGACAACAGAGTTACCCGTTTCCTCTTCTACAAGTAGATTAACACATTTTTACATTGTGCATTTTAGTTTTAGTCTTCTCTGTGCTGTACGTCTTCTAAGGTTAATAAACAAGCTGCAGAAGCCCGACCCAACCATAAAGCAATTGATTTTGGCCCGAATTTCAGGTCAGGTTCAGACCATAAATATAAATATATTCCCTGATTTAAGGTTTTCCCAACAGGATCAGAGTTATTGTCGAGAACCACGACTACATCAAAGAAATAATGGATCAAACATTTCCTTTTTCTCCATTTATTTGAACCTTAATCCTGTTTGAACAGGAGAACATTCAAAGCTGTGAGTCAAATCATTGCTAAAAACACAGACATACTGTCGTAATGGAGGATTACTGTAGTTAAACGTGGAGGAAAACTATTAATAGCCTTCTCCAAAATAAAACATATAAAACAAAAGCCCTTTAGGTCAAGCCTCATTTGGTATTAAAACAGGAAATTCTATATATATATATATATATAAAAAAATAATCTTCGGATATTTTTGATAGATACAGCAGACAGTTGATATTATTGGTAGCTAAAGTTCTTTTTTAAAAAAAAAAAAGTTACATTTAGCATTTGTCCTCCATAACCTGCTTAATAGGTGCATACAGTCGAAACAATAAACCATGTACAGTCGTTCCCCAACTTGTTCTGACCGTAGCCCATTTCAAGCAATAAATTCAAGTCCACATAGAGTGTAAAACATACTCTGGTTCCCTTTTAATCTTCTTCTCCTCCTTTAGCCTCCAGAGAGTCGATAGCTTGGAGTTCGGAGGAGAACTTCTCTCCTAGATCTTTGTTTGCCTGGAGGAAGCCCCGCAGTCGTTCCAGCTGCTCCGCGTCCTGAGGAGCAGACAGACAGAGAGTCGGAGGGGAAAACGTGTGTCAATCATTCTCTACGTCTCGTTCAAAAAAAAAAAAGAAAAAAGCAAGTGCGGGGCTTTTGTTCCGCCTACATGCGTCTTTGCATCCTCGTCTTCCTCGTTACCAGCACGCAGACACTCCCGCAGCATCTCCTGCAGCAGCTCGGCTTCCCACCGGCTGACCGACTCGGCGCCAGACTCCGGCGAGTCGGGGTCCGAATCGGCCGATGGGCCAGCGGAGTCCAGTTGGTCGACGCCAAACACGCGTATTGAAAGATCTACGGTCAGCATCTGGATCACAAAAAAAAAAATAAATAAATAAAAGAATGGAAAAAAACTTAAACATGATGACAGCAGCTGCTTTTCCATTAACCATGTAATCGTGCATGTTGGTATTACGAAAATAAATATGCTTTAGGGAAAAACAGCAATTTAAAAGCAAAACTCATATATTTTAATAAAAAGTTTTAGCGTTGGGATGAGTTGGCCGTATTGAAATGAGTGTATTTCTCAAAACTGCAGTGAAAACACTTTTTTTTTTTTTTGGCATCACACCAATCACATGACCAACAGCCAGATGTTAACACTGGTGGAGAGGACAAAGAAAACGACAGGAAGTGGTAGGAGGATGACGGCGCCGCACGTTTTTAATCGCCTGAACAAACTTATTCACATTTTACTTTAATTGCGTTTCTTATTTGAAGTTGCCGCTAGGCCTGTCATGATAACAAATGTTATTGGACGATAAATTGTTCAACAGTTAATGCGATAAACGATAATATTGTTGTTTTGAAAGCATTTTCAAGTAATATAATGGCAATGGCGTAATAATGCAAGAACACATCGTCAGAGATCAGTAAACTTTAACACAGTAAATGGAAAACATTTTAAATATCCAAAATAAATTAATAAAACAAATAAAATGAATTTTGAAGTCTTTGTAAAGAAAATTGTTCTTCGAAGAAAAGGGCTGGTTGAGACCAAAGCACAAAACTGAAAATTGTTTTCATTCAGTTTTTAGTAGAAAAAGAGAGAGAAAAAAGAGAAATGATAAATCCTGCCAATGGAAATTATTGAGGTTCTTTTAATTTATCATGCAATTAATTAATTTATTGATTACTGTGACAGGCTTAGTTGCAGCATGTAAATTTCACAGAAATATGTTTTTTCTATTCTTAAAACTGTCACCATGTCGTAACAGTAAAATATGAGGTGGACAATCTGTACAACAGTCTAATTCCCCCGCCTGTACCCTGAACTACAATTGCAATCTGCAGATATGCATCGCTTCCCATCAGAAACAGCCAGTCAGAGCCAGGAGGAGGGTCTTAGTGCTGTCAATCATCCTTGTGTACTTTAGAAAAGTTACATACTGCAGCTTTCATGGAAACACAACAATTGCTAAATTGCGTTTTCTTGACATTTTCGACAGTTTTGCGCACATTTGTAGTGGAAGCGCATTATAAAGAGCCTGGAAGTGGAGCTGCCGCTGTTTTCCAAACAAACTCACGTCTTCGATTTGCTTCCCGACGGTCAGCATGTGGGGCACAAAGCTCAGCTGCTGCACAAAGTGCCTCAGAGCCGTCCTGTAGTGCCTCATCCAGTCGTCCTTCACCCGAAACTCGCAAGAGTGCATCAGCTCGTTCCTGCACTGAATCACCTGGAAGCAGAAGCACAGATGTGAAAATGCAGCTTTAGCCCTGACATGAAGCCGCGTTGTAAGTCTTTTTTCGCTGTTGTTGTTCCACTGCTCACCTGTCTCACCAGCTTCGGATCCACGGAACTGAAACAGTCGCAGTAGTTGATCAGGTTGAGCAGAGCGGAGGCGTCAAACTCGTCGGCGCGCTTCACCTTAGCCTGACCTCGTGGCATGTACGCCTGAAGACACACAGAGCAGCAGAGCATGGAGACCCAACACGAGGAACACAAAGTTCAAACCCTCCTGATGGACCCATGGTTGGCTTAACGTCGAGCTGAAACGAAGACGGTTCTTTTTCTTTTTCCTCCAGAATGTGTCCCGTCACCGTGGTTTCCACCTCTTCAGCCATGACGAATCCTGATCCTATCAGAGATGCTTGCTTATGTTATGCCTATCATCTCGTCTCAGGTTTGTTTGCATGCGTTTTCACTTCCTCTGCAGAGGCGGTTCACCTTTCATCTGAATCCAGGCAGTGATTTCAGCTGCACGAGTCTCCAATACGCTTTCCGTTGTGTTGGAGTGGAGAGATTTGTACTCATCTCATCTCAGAAGGGATCTAAATATATTTGGGGGGGTTTTGTGCTGATGTTTTATGTAATTTCCCTTTGTATAAAAAGTAGTTATCCATGAATCGTTTAGCAGAGTCTACAGATTTTTTTGTTAAACATTTAAACCTTTTTTACACAATGCAAATAAATAATTTATTAAATTCATTCTTTAAATAAGAAACTAGATATTTAATTGCCTAAAATGCAGTACAGCATTCCTATATATATATATATATATATATATATATATATATATATATATATATATATATGTATATATATATATATATACACACACACACACGTATATATATATATTTTTTTTTATATACAACTTGAGAAGTTAACAATTAAACAATTACTAAATTAGTTAATCATTCCAATAACTGATTCATCACAATTAATTGTTTCTGCCTTAGTTTAGCAGAACCTCCTGAAAATTGAAACAATGAAGTAGCTGTGGAGCTTCTTTAGGTATTAGATAGCGCCTATGTTTTTTTATTTCAGATAGAAGCAACACTGCCATCTAGTGGAATTTTGCAGTATCGTAAGCCTCTTATGTGAACAGCTCAGGAGTCAGCTGAGCTGTTCACATAAGAACAGCTCAGCTGTTCTTATTTTCAGCCTCTTAATCATTTTGGCTGAAAATAATACAGAACTAACAAGTGTTTTTAAATCTGAATATAACAAATGCAGGTTTTTGACTGTTTTTATCCTGCAATTTTTGAATTTGATTTCAAGTAATATGTTTTTAGATCCGTTTTCATTGTCAATTGATTGGAATCTAAATGCTTTTTCAAAATTGTGTTTTCCATCCCACCAAAAATAAATAAATAAATAAATAAATAAATAAATAAATAAATAAATAAATAAATCCATCCATCCATCCATCCATCCATCCTATTCTTAGGGTTAAAACAAAGATTAATGCCGACCTTCCTACAGTGGCTGTATATCTGAAATTATAATTTATCATCCACCAAAATTTGTTATTGTGGCAGGCCTACCCGGTGAGCAAGCTCTGCACTGGCAGCCAATACAATCCTGTCACACAATCTATCTGAGAGGCAACAGATGGAGGATTTAAATTTAAAAAAGGGAAATGTGCAGTGAGAGTTAGCACATTCCCCCTGTGCAAGTGTGAGGAGAGTGTGACGGACATCATGGAGACATCTTCACTCCAACCAAACCCTCTGAGTTTCTGATGTCACTATGCTAAAGTTACCTAATAATTCAATGCAATGCTGAAAATTCAGATATTTTTGGGGAGAAATTTTTTGCAATGAATGACTCATTTTATGCTCAATCATCTATTGACAACACAAACTGTAAGCACAAAAAGTAGAGGAATAAAGTTTGGGAAGCAACCTTGGAGTCCCTCCCACAACTGTACAAATGCGTGACGCGGTGCGTCTATTTTATCTGCAATCTGGCATAAAGAACAAAACGTTCAGCAGTTTGTTTCAGCATACGTTTCTGCAGCTTTAGGATGACTTTACGTGTGGATGGAGTGATGTGTGGTTTACCTTGGCCAGTTCCCAGTGGTCCGTCCTCCAGTAACGGGGAAAACAGTTTGTCCAGTGGATTGTGGCATCTGGCTGTCTGTGGTGTCTCAGGATAACTTTCTGCCACTCTGAACACACCCTGCATACCGAGACAAGCTGCCAGTACAGAAACCCAATGAAAGAAAATTACTGTGAGAAGTTATAACTGTAATATATTTAAAGGAATAAATGGTCAAATCCTACCGTATTTCCTCTGGGTTTACAGGAAGAGGTCTCGCAAGGTTTCCGCAGGAGAGGATACTGGTTGAGCAAATCTCCGTGGAAAGCTGTCAGCTGCTGGTCGGTGAACGGAAGGAGGCCGTCCTTCAGGATGAGCAGGCAGCGTCCTGCTTTCAGCCAGTTCTTGTACTCCTCGTCGTTGAGACGAAACGTCAACTCCTCGCGGACCATCTCAGCTCTACTTCCTCACAAAGTGAAACACAACAAAGGGGCAGGACAATGTTCAGGCCACGTGGCCAGCTTTTCCTACTGGCTGCAGTTTAGCACGGCGGCCACCAGATGGCGGTGTGTTACCGTAGCTACATGATGTCGGGGCGGGAAAACCAGGTGGGCTGGAGGGAGACAACTTTATGTGTGAAATAAGGGAGTTTATGGCAGTATGTGTGGCAGATAACTGAAAAATTGGAGAAACTTAATTTTGAAAGATTTCTATCTGAAGCTGAAATATATACAACCTCATGTCATCACCTGCAGGACCAGGGAGGTCACCAGAGACAACTTGGAATCTGTCAATAATTGTGAGACTTATATTTATATTGAGGATATTTTTATTTCAGATCACTCCTGTGTCTTTTTTTATTTGTCTTTAGGGATGGAATTATCTAAAACTCATCGTTTCATTGGCTCTTTTAGTTCATCTTTGCTGAAAAGTTTTCTTCACGTTTTTATTTCTCTTGACACGGCAGTTATGATGTTGATTGTCTAGCTAATGTTTTTAGCAAACATTTTGGGGAAATTCTAGATGAAAATCTCTGTATCAAGTCTGTACCCTGCGGGAAGACTTGGCTCTGTGAAGCAGCTATGTAGGAAGACTGGATGTTTGTGGAAGTCAACTAGGCTCTCTGCTCATCTCCTGCATCTGAAAGAGGTTTTGATTTCCCCCAACTAGCCCACTGTATAAAACAGTTAAATTTCTCTAAGTCATCTCTTCAAATGTGAGGACAGAATGATTTCAACATCTTCTGCTATAGATATTATTCTAGCATCACTATTTAAAGCCGTTTTCCCTTGTACTGTAAAATGTATTAGCTCCCCCCTAAATTTTGGTCAAGTTTCATCATTCAAAAATGGCGTGCTTCTCTTCTTAAAAAGTCTCCACCTTAGATTCATTGCGTCCTACGACTTATAGGGTTATCTCAAAACTTTCTTTCCTGGCCAAAATTCTACAGCAACCGTGGGATTCTGATGATTTTAATATTTCAGCCATATTTCAGTCTGGTTTTTTAAGAGCCTATTCAACAGCGTCAGGATTCCTTCGAGTGACTAACGGTTTGATGATGTGGAAATGAGAATCGTTGGTGTTAGCTGGACGTAAATTCCAGGTTTATGTTCAACCCTTTAGTATTGGGGATCACTCAGTTCTGCTTGTGAAACTGAGAGTCTTTCAGAGATATTTGTGTTGCCCAGTCCAATTTTAACTCAAGGTCTGTTACTCTCAACCATCGGGTTCTACTGTGTTTCTGTTTTTGGGCCTAATTTATTTGTCTTTGTCTCCTTCCTTTATGCAGTCTTTTAAAATCTTTTAATGAAATCTCTTATCATTACTACGCTGACGATACTCAGGTTTTAATTACTTTTAAACCCCATTCATTTTCCAAGCTATCTGTTCTACAATGGTATATGAAATCAAGCAAATGAAGGTCGAATAATGATTTTCTCCAGTTGAATGAAGAGAAAACACAGGTTCTTATCTGGGCCGCAAATAACTCAGTTCCTTCATTTTCTGACCACTTGAGTTGCCTCATACATTAAGCTTCCTATTAAAAATAAATTTTTTGATGGTGCTGTATTGTTTTAATAATATGTCAAGGATGTTGTTTATTCCTGCTTTTTTCACCTGAGGAACATTTGGAAACTCATGTGTATCATTTCTAATGCTCCGGTGGAAATGGTGATTCATGTATTCATCCGTTCTTGTATTGATTATTGCATTTCCCTTATTACCTTTTCTCAGTGAAAGTTCTACAAATCATTGAACTGCAATATTTTTGACTCCCATATGGGCTAAAATGCAACACCTGACTACTCTTCATAAACTACCAGTTCAGCACAGGACCCAGATCAAGGTTCTTGTGTGGACTCATGAGGCCCTTTATGATAATGTTTCTGCATACATTACTAGACTTTTACGTCCATGTGTCACCACCAACGAGTCGCCACGGTTGACTGATCTGGGATTGCTTTACTGTCCTAAAGCCAGGATTAAAAATCAAAAGTGAAAGTATCTTTGCGGTTGTAGCTTCTCCAAAAACATGGGATTCAAAGGTGTTCTCATGCAGGCCAGAAGTGTCTCCAACAAATCTATCCAGCCCTTCCAGCAAGTTTTGGATCTGGCCAGGGCTCTCCCCCAAGTTAGCCAGGTCATTGCCTTTCTATGCAGTACCGCTCCAGTCGAATCTTCCAAATACTGAATTAACATTAACAGCCATCTTGTTTGGCTTGGTACATCACTCTCCACAGTAGAGGATGGTTGCTTACAGTGCAGAAAATTTTCCAGTAAGCTTCACTGCCTTGAACTGGCACATTGCACACGCCACAGCCAAACATTAGCAGTAAGGTCAAATTTAAGACTTTCAACAGAGGCTGCGCTTCCAGGAAGCAATCGTTTCTCAATAGCCAATGTACAATGTACGAAGCAAATCGTATGACAAGGAACTAGAGGATGGGAAGCATTCCATAAAGATGCCCAAAATACCTCAGCTGATTTCTTTCAAAGTGGCAGAGGAGGCTCTGAGTCTTTCTTGACACATAGTTTCTCACCTTATCTCCAACGCCAAATCCAGCCATGAAACAGAAGACCTTCCTCTCAGCTGCTTCACTCTCCTTCTTTTGATCATGATCCATCTCAAGAGAGATGAACCGGTAAATCAAGAGCTGCACATTTTGCTCAACTTTGTATACTCCATGACAGATCGTATACCCATTTACTGTTCTATCCCAACGTCAATCATGTGTAAAACAGAGGGAGTATTCCATGTCTGCTGATTGAAACAAAAGCTAATGCAGTAGGTGGTGCTGACACATTGCTAGTCTTCAGCTGGTGAAAATATGCAGACTTTCAATAAAGATATTATTTTTATACAAACGTTGTTTTTTTGTATGTAGTTTACAGGCCCTCTGGTAGTTATCCACTTCTTAAGAGAATCTGTGCCTTCCCTAGTGGTCCAACCATTTCAGTTGATGTTGAAACAAAGAGATTCACAGTTTTCACTCCTGACTCAGTTGCTGGAATTCTCTCATGTTCTCAGCACTGCTCTTACTAACGTTTTCCTTTACATATTCCACGGTTCAAGAGAACTCGCTAATTAGGTACAATGCATTCAATAAAGATTTGATCAACTAGTTTTTCTATTAGAAGGCTGAACTACAAAACTAATTGCCCTGGTGCAGCTTTCTACTTTTTTAGATTCTGGGTTTTACAATTGTTTTGTATAATTCATCAGAAACCTTGATATCCGGCAAAAACATAGAATCAATAGATCATTTAAAGAGAAGTAACACGTCAAATCCTGGTGATGGAGATTCAAGAACAGGTTAGAAACTGGGGTGCAGCAGTGGCACAAGACACATAGAGGCCTCAGTCCTCTATGTGTCCATCACAGGCTCCTGCCCCGGTGCATTGACCTTTGCAGAATGTCTTCCCCTCTTTCACAACCCACTTTTCTGTCAATTCACTGTCAAAAAAAGGCCACTGGAGCAAAAAAAAAAAAAAAAAACTTGTAAAGAAAAGAATAGGTTAGAAACAACGTGTAAAAAGCAAAACAAAACCATTTTTGAGGGACTTGGGACTCCAGTGAACCACAGCAAAAGCAGTTGTCCACAAACGGACAAAACAGAATACTGATGAACCTCAAGAGTGACCAGCCTACCAAAATTACATAGAGCACATTGATTATTCACATCCCTCGGTCAAAGCCACTATTCATCATTTAACAGTGAGAAACAGGCAGGGCAAAAATGGCATCTGGATTTCTAAGGTGATTAAACCACAAAGGCCCATGTAACATATGGTGAATACATCTTGATGACCAACAGGACTTTAGAGGAAATATTCTGGTGAATGATGAATCCTAACTCACCATTTCAGAGAAAGTAGATCATGCTTTTCTTTAGGACAGGGGTCTCAAACTCCAGTCTTCGAGGGCCACTGTCCTGCAACTCTGAGATGTGCCTTTGCTGCACCACACCTGAATAGAATAATTAGGTCATTAGCAAGGCTCTGGAGAACTGATCTACACAAGAAGGAGGTAATTAAGCCATTTCATTCCAGCATTTTGTACCTGTGGCACATCTAAAAACTGCAGGACAGCGGCCCTTGAGGACTGGAGTTTGAGACCCCTGCTTTAGGACCTGGATGACTTTCTGTAATTTTTGAGACCATAAATTCTGTTCTCTAGCAGAAAATCCTGGAGGAGAATGAACGGTCATCAGTTTGAGTTGATTAAGGTCTGACCTCACCACCATTGACTTCTTGTATGTATGTTTGATAGTTGAATTCAATTATTTGTTGAACAGTCAAGATAAAGACCAAATATGTATATATACATACAGAGAAGGAGATAGCCAAACATGCGTCTGTCCAATAATATGTGCTCATTTCACTTGTTCCCGTTTCTTCCAGTTTTGTGATGTGGTGAAAAACTAGGTCTCTCACAGATCTGTCTTTCACTCAAATTTCGCTTGAACATATTTTTATTCATAGCTCTGTGGAGAGCAACATGCAGCGTTCACTCAAAGATTAAGCCTCCCACCTTATCCCTATGTCTAAACCAATCCCTCTCAGACATACACCTACTTGAGAGCCTACATCACCTCGTTTCGGTGACTGATGTTCCTGACAGTAAAAACCTGTAAAGAAAGCCTGTGAGGCGGCTTGGTCTCTGAGAAAAGCTTGGCCGCATCTGATTAAGACAATTCCAACCCAGCGTTTCATCCGCACAGAATCCCACAAGACTTACTTTAAGGGTAGGATAATTAGGCCACGTTCAGCAAGCTGTTCAGCAGTTCAGTCGTGACTCCATCTGAGGACGCGTTCTCTAGTTAGGAAGATCTAAAATGAGGACTGAAACCTTGATATCAAATGAGCTGTCTCTGGATGTGAAACTACAGTTTTTGCATTTCTGTGTCAAAGTTCTTCATAGTCTTTCTTCACTTTGGACAGGCCTGGACTGCAGAGAAGCGAGTCCAGTGCCTGCCTTAGAGAAATGTGCCGAACAGAGCATCGCTTTGTTGTAACGAGCGTTGGACAATCCCTATTACCAGAGGGATTGTACATAGAACAACGCATGTTGTTCTATGTATTATTTGCAAAGTTCACTGTCATCAGGACTTTTTTTTTCCTATTTCAGTTTGCAAATCGTTATCTGAGCCTGCCAGTTCTGCCTCTCGTTAAAGTTTTCCTATTTCCATTGCCGCAATGTATCTGATTGATTCGGGAGACAAATTTCACTTTTAACCATGGGAATTTGGTCCTGGTGAAAGCCTTGCTAAAATATTTAAATTGATTTTTATTTTAGGCGTCAGGTAATTCCTCCCTGGCTGCTCCCGGCTCCTCGCTCTTCCTCCAGCTGCCCTCCAACCTTCTCCCGCTCTGCTCCTCTCTCATCGCCTCCCCTGCTTCTGCTCAGCTCTGCATTTAAATGAGGAAAATTGTCAAAGAAAACCATTAATACGAAGTGAAAGCACCTGATGGCAATTCTGACAGCACATGCGCAAAAAGGCACAATTAACTTGACCCGGCTTTGCAATCCAATTTGATACCTTTATGTCAAGAAATTGAATTATGATTGGATTACCTATAGGTACCTATATTTATAAATGACCTTAGCACATCCGACAGTTTCTACTGAATCATTGGAGATGCTGAACGTACCTTTTGAGCAAATATGCCAGCTTCCTTTTCCTTTTCTTTACTCAATAATCTCTGAAAATCCACTCAAAATAACTTAACCAGAGCTGAAATAATGCTAAAGATAGAAAGTTCCAAATAAGTTTTGAGAAAGCCAATGTTTCCACTACACTGTCAAAAGATACACCTCTCCCAAATTATAAATATTGGCTGTCAAAAGAAACCTGCTAGAGCTAAAACGAGCATGTATTAGCTTAGCTTAAAGTTAGGAACATAAACACTCTGAAAAACTTGAGCTAAGTCTTGAATATTGTTTCACCTGAAAGTAATTTACTGTTCATTTATTAGAAAAATAAACAAAGCCAATGGAAATGGTACAGCTGCAGCCATGCTAGCTAACGGTCTACCTGCTGAAAATTAGCATCAAGGTGCTACTTCCCAACAGAAACGCTGAAAAGGAGAACATTTGCATGCACCGCTGAGCTATGGCTTCAGCTCAACTTCATTTAATTGGACTGCTGACCTTGTATGAGCATTAAATCATTTCATGGGAATCCATTTCGCCTCAAGTATGTCTGACTCCACAATGATAGGTGGCGATGTGCCCCCTTTCAGCTTGTTAGCAATAGGGCCGACACAACTGAGTGTCCAAGTAATTCAGGTAATATGACATGAGGTCTGCACCTTCATCAATACAGTTGGAAGTTATCTGACATGTGCAGCCTTTTCTCACGTGTCGCAGAGTCAGAAGAAGAGAATGAGCCAAACAGGGGGGCTCTCTGTTTCCTGTAGAGTTGCCAACTTCTTAGTATGGAAAGTGACTTTTAGCTATTCCACATCTATTATGAAATGTGGGATTCAATGTGGGAGAAACTAAAAGTGAGCAAAACAAAAAAAAACAGTATCTTTAGA